CGTCCCCCTTCCCTGCATCCTCACCAACATCCGTCGTTGCCCGAGTTGTTCATTTTGGGGCTCAGTGTTCTTGAAATTTACTTCAGGGAGTATGGCAGCCGCACAGCAGACACTCAAAGAGAGGGACGGCGACCCCCAGCCGCTGAGCACCACCCCCAGGGACTGTGATGGGGACACACGCGCTGCACATGTCAAGATGCCACGGATGGAGATAACAAATGGGGACGTCAAATACCAGCTGCCAGCCGGAGTCACGCTCCGGGATGAGCTTGGAGTGGCAGGCATGGGTCGTCGGTGGGGTCCGGGGGCCGCGGGCAGTGCTGGAAGACTATCCAGGAAAATGCCGGGCAGCCGCTCCTCCGTAGCTTGACTTACAAATCTGAACCCAAGAAATGAATGTGGACTAACCGATACCTGCCTCACCCTGTCGAGCTCTGCCCAGGAGCTTACTCTGAACTGCTCCACCGCCAAAGAATCTGAAGGCCACAGAAATGGGGAGCCAGAGGGGCTCCCGTGGACGTCACTGCAGGGACGGTCCCCGGAGACGTAGCTAAAACAGTGCGGGAAAGGGAAGGGCTTCGGGCTTGGAGCTGCTTGAGAGGACACCCCCTTTCCTGCACACCAACCACCCACGCTGGCCTCAGGGCCACCGTGCCCCGCACCCAGCCCCGGCCTTCCCCACCTCCACCATGGCAGAGCTTAGTTAGTTCACCTAAGCGCTGGCCTGGGAAATGCTGTGTCCAGTGACAGGCTCTTGTCATCTGCTTCTGAGTCTCAGAGCAACTGGTCACTCTCCCATCCCCCACCCTACACCCCACCAACTTGCCCCCATGGCCTGTCCATCCCAAACTCTGGTGTCATGCGCATTTCACTGAAGACTCAATTCAATGTCCAGGCTGGGAGGTGTCAGCCTCCCAGCAATTGTCCCCAGATTTTCCCTGGAGGTGCCCGGGGGACCCCTAGACTCTACCATGCACCTTCCCACTGCACCCCCAGCCCGCGCAGGATTGCCACGAGCAAGGAGGATGGGAAAGCCATGTCCTACTCCAGGCTCCAGAGAGAGGGCTCCTCAGAACCAGAGCAGTCTGCCAGCTCCCCCCCTGCCCCCCACCCCCACCCGACAGCAGAGCCCACGCATGCTCGGAGGCCCAGCAGGAGGAAGAGATGCAGACAGGACCCCTGGAGGGAAATCCTGGGCAGAGCACGCTCCCTTGGCACCTGTCTGCTCTTCTGTGTGCATCGGAAGCTTCCAGAAGGGATTGACCCAAGGCTCTGGCTTCAGAGCCCACGCATGCATGCCGCAGGCCTGTGTGCTGTCACCTGTCCACGGGGGGAACACTTCCTGCCGTCATCAAAGCAGACCTTCCTTCTCCAATGTTCCTGGTCCCGACGGACAGCGGTGTCGGCCTCTTTCTGAACTTCCGGCCCATGGTGCCAACCCCGCTAACGGTCCCGGCTGCTCTGCCTGCTGTGGGCTGCGCAGCTGAAAGCTACCGGTCACAGACAAAAAGGGGCCCCGGTGCTTTCTTTCTTTTTTTTTTTTTTTTAAATATTTTTATTTCTAGGAGAGAGAGAGAGAGAGACAGCGTGAGCAGGGGAGGGTCAGAGAGAGGGGGAATCACAGACTCTGAAACAGGCTCCAGGCTCTGAGCTGGCAGTCAGCACAGAGCCCGACGCGGGGCTCGAACCCACGAACCGCGAGATCATGACCTAAGCGAAAGTCGGACGCTTAACCGACTAAGCCACCCAGGCGCCCCCCCAGGTGCTTTCTTGATGAACAAAAACAGAAGTTTTGAGGCCTCAAGGAATTTTCCCAAACCTTTGATGAAATGAATCAGAAGAGCTGGAAGACGTGTCTTTTAAAGGTCTCCTCTGTGGTTGCGGCCAGATTTTGGCCTCCAGCTGGAGTCCTGAGGCCCCCACTTCTCCCTGGGAGTCTCTGTAGGTGACATTCTCTCCCCATGTCCCTTGCTGCTTCTTCTCTGTGTCCCCCGGTCTCTAGCCTGCCCACACCCAGGCCCATCACCCTGGTGTCCTCAAGGACTCTGGTCAGGACCATCCCTCTGTGGCCTGGGTCCCTTCCTCCGTGTAAGGGACGACTGGTTACCCCTGTGTTTCCAATGAGGGTCACTCACGTGAGAGTCACAATCTCAATTTTGCATTTTTTTTTTTGCCCTATTCTCTGCTGGATATGTTGTCATCTACATTTTCTGTATTTATTTTAAATGACCACCTTATGTCATGATATTAAGTAGAAAACCAGCTTCCCTTGCTATAAATAGGAGGAAGCAGTAACAATCAGTGTTATGAAAACAAAATTATATTAGCAACTCTTGCCTTGACCCTAAAGGGAGGGCTGCCCTCTCCTTTGTCCCTTTCACCATTTAACGTCCTAAAGTCGTCTCAGGTACCATCAATGGTCAGGTCCCAAAGTTTGGCCATCAGTGAATTCAAAGATCTTTGGGGTCCCTTTTGTCTGTCTCTCCCCCTCCCCACCCCCTGCCCCTCATTCCTTCCCAGCGGATTTTTGTAACCCCTTGTGATAATCACATACATAAACGCAACCCTCTGGTCTAAAAGTACGTGCCTGCAAAGACTTTTTTTTTTTCCTTTTCTGCCAGCCTGCAGAACAAGGGACCAGCATTGTTTTGAGAGAGATAACGGGCTCTGTTTCCACCATTTCTCCCCACTGGCCCTGAGAGATACCACCGCGGTTCCTGACGGGAAATCCCTTCTGCCTCATGGAAAACCCAGAGAAGGAAGTGGAGCGGCCCTTCCCCCCCACCCCCCACGCCCGAGGGTTCAGGCTCCTCCCAAAACTGTACAAAGAAAAGTCCACCATGGCAGGCCTGGGGCCCACACCCCACAGGCTCTGAGCAGCCAGGGCAGGGAAACGAGGAAGACACGTGCACACCACGGCTCACACTGCATGTTACTGGGTCCCACGTGGCCTCGACGGTAACAACTTGATAAAATCTGCAGAGAAAGAGGCATCACTACGCCCCGGTTTGCAAACAGAAAAAGCAGGGCCAGGAGACTCTGCCCAAGATCTGACTCAAGGTCAGCCTACCCCTTTCCCCACCGCGGCCCACCCCAAACACTGTCGGCATGAAGGCCCACCAGGTGCACTGCCTGTTCCTTCTAGAACCCAAAAGCTGAGCTCTCCAAGGCCACTAGTGAGGCTGGCCAGGGCAGCTGGAGCGGGAGAAAGGAGGGAAATCAGGGAGGGGAAGCCCTGTGCACACCCATCCCTCCGGGGCCTCCTCGCCCGGGAGCGGGTGGCACATGCTGACCTGTCTTCTCTCTACCCTCGAGGTCCACGCAGCCGCACAGCGCACACGAGCCCTGGTTACAGAGCTGGGCGCTCGCAGCGAGCACCACCCCTGCCTGGGGAAAGCCAGGACCCTAGGATGCTGACTCCGCCCTTTGAGAGTAGGAAGCCCCGCCCCAGCCCCGCCCGCCGGTAGGTGGAGCCAGCGGTGGCCACGCCCACGGCCCTCCCTTCCCCCAGGGCCTCGCTTGTCCCAGAATCCCCTGCTCCCTCCGAGCCGCCGCACGGCTGCTGGGCTTCGAAGCACCTCCAGCCGAGCCCCTTTCTACCGAGCACCCTTGATTCCCAAACTGTGCTTTTACCAAACAAGGCGAAACTGCCGAGCCGCGGTTGGGTGCCGATCAAGGCGGTGGGCGCCCCCTCTACCCTCTGCGAGCGCCGACGCGGCTTCCCCGCCCCCACGCGTCTCCGGGGACAGGTCGCCACGGGCACGGCGGCCGGAGCCCAGGAACTCGCTCCAGCCTCTGCCCCGTTGCACGTGCCCCCGCCGCCGCCGTTACCGGCTGTGTCCCCGGGGGGAAAACGCGGAGGCCGTTAACGTCCTGGGCCGGGGAGGACCCCACCCACACGCAGGGCGTCCCTCATCACGTCCAGTGGAGTAAGGATCGTGGAGCCGGCGCTGGAAATTAGAACCGTTCGCCGGACGTCAGGAAAGGGAGGATCGTCAGTGTCCACGCAGCAAGGCCCCCGCAGGGCGGCCGCAAGCCCTCCCCGAACGTGTTCCGAGCCCCGGCCTGAGAACCCGCACCCGGCACCCGGGGCAGGCGCGGAGCCGCGTGGCCCTGCTCGGGGGAGCCCCCCCCCCCCCCCCCCCCNCCCCCCCCCCCCCCGCCCTGCCCTCAGCTCCAGCCCGAACTTGAGCCCGGGGCCCCTCTTAGCCGCCCCCCAGGGCAGGTCCGAGGCCCTCTCCGGGGGGTGGGGGATGCCCCCAGGTCCTAGCAAGCTCTAGGATTTCCCCTGCTCCAGCAAGCAACCCCGCCTGCAGCCCGGGACAAACACGGCGGGTGTCCCGGAACATTCTTCTCTGAAGGGGTCCCCGCTTGTCCCCAGCCTGTCGTTGAGAAGGGAGGTGCCAGGAACCGAAAACGATGGCGTCTCCATGCCCATCAGTCCGACAGAGCGGAACCCACGTGCCCGGCTGACGACGAGCGGCGAGACGGCCGAGGCCGGCGGTTGGGGGGCTCGGGCTCCAGTGGAGGGGCTGCGGGCACACGGAGGAGGGCGGTGTCAGCGGTGGGGCCCTGCAGAGCGGAAGCAGGTGCTCCGGTGGTGCCCGACCCGGGCCTCCCTCCGTGGGGGCTGACCGCATGCCATCCGTGACCGGCGGAGCCAGGCCCCAGTGCACCCGCAGGCGCCCTTCTTTGCAGCCTTTCTTCAAGCCTCCCCAGCCTCCGTCGCTGCCCCTCAGGGCGCCCAGTGCCCCCCCCCCCGTGGGACTGGGAAGGAGGTCCATTCTAAAAGAGGAAACTTCCAGAATTTCAATGACCTTGAGAACAGTGGATTGCGTGGCCGTTCAGGGAGCCCCTCCCGGTCCCCACAGGCAAGCATCCTGCGCGGTGGAGGGCACGTCTCAAGGGCCTGCGGTCTGCTTCCAAGCCCGAATCCGGGAGAAGGGGCCTGAAAGGGGGTGAACTGCAGCGAACCCGGAGCGCTTCCCTGAGCCCGCAGTGCCGCTGCCCCCCTCCCCCCGCCCCCGCAAGGCCACCAGGTGCTGTGAGGCCGCGCTCAGATGGCCTGTCCCTGTGCTCATGGCAGGATCAGTCCCCAGAGCAGTGTGGGGGCAGCGCCCCCAGTGTCCCCGAAGGAGAGTGCTGCAGGGCGGGCACCTTCCTGACCACCAACACCTGCGCCTGGAATAATCCTACTCCACACGTGCTTGTGGAACGAGGAGGGCGAGACAGAGGAGGAAGGAATCAGCAGCCACTTCCACACGCGCCCCCGCAGGAGCGGGCCCAGGAGTGCCCCTCCCTCCTCGTGGCCTGGGGCAGGTGGCTGGGGTAGCCCGGAAGTCTCCCCCCAACACCTGAGCAGGTGGAGTTGAGGTAAGACCCTCTCCAGGAGAGGGGTGCTGCACAGGAGGCCCTGGGGGCACCTCTACCTCTGGGGGGAGGGGGCACAGTCCTGGCGAGAGGGTGTTCTGAGCGCTCCTCTCCTCCATTTCTGGAGCCAAGCCGTGGGGCACCAGGCAGGCCCGGGGAGCTTTCTAGAAGCACCCTCTGCCCTGTTCCCGTCAGAGGCCAAAGCTCCGGGCTCCCCGTGGCTCCAGGGTCCGGACAACTGCCTGTGTTTTCAGTCTGATGTCAAGAGGCCACGCGTGTCCAGCGGTAGCTGGCCCTCCAACAGCAACATGGATAGGGGTAACCCCTTGGGCGGAGCGGAGCCGGCGGGGTCCCCCCTGAGCGTGAACGCCTCCCCCGCCTCCTCCAGGCTTCCCCAAGGCCCAGGTGGATCCCGAGTCAGCCACACCCAAAGCCCGGCCTTGCTCCGCTGTTCATCCTCAGTGGCGCCCCCCCCCCCCCCGGCTGTCTGTCTGTCCCCCTCCTCCCTCAGCTCGGGCTCAGCTCAGCAGAGTAGCCTCCTCCTCCAGGCCCCTGGCCCCCGCTCTGCTTCTGCTTCATCCCACATCTCGAAATAAGCCTCTGAGAGCACAGATGTGACCGTGAACCTCCTCTGATCTAAAACCTCCATTTGATCTCCTGGGGGAGAAACGGTGCCCTCATGGCGCACGGACGATACTCCTTATCGAAGACAAGCTGTTCCGGGCACGACTGCCTTCGCAGAGCATGTAACCGACTTGTCCAAGGTCACAGAGCTGGTGCCTGCCTCCGCTAGGATTTGAGAATTCCAAGCTCATGACAGTCAAGGCCAGCTGTCACGGAGCTCCAGCACGTCCCCTGCCTCCCAGGGAGTGTGGATGCCCCGAAAGGGAGGGCATGTCCCCGCTGCCAGGTTTTGGCCTCCGCCAAGAACGTTTTCTCACCCGTGGAAGGTTCCGCCACCTCCAGTACCCAGCCCGAAGCCGCCGCCTCCGCGTCTCTGCCTCCGCCGTGCACTCTCATGACGCTGGAATCCATCGACGACACACCTGCCACCCACTGTCTTTGCATGCGGTCGTTTCTGCCTACATCTCGTCCCCCTCAGAGGGCAGAGGCTGCTGTGACGCTTCCTTCCGTGTCCTCGCGGGCCCATAATAAGGCGGTGGCTCCAGAAATGAGAGGAGGGGTGGATGTCACCACCACCACCGCTGCCTCCACCGAGCTGTCCCGACCACGAGGCTCTGGATGCGGGGAAGCACGGCCCCCCCCAGGGCACGGACAGCACCCTCCCCAAGATTGGACTCCCCTCTGGGGCAAAGGTCAAGCAGGCAGAAAGGCAGCAGAGAGCTGAGTTGGGAAAGTCCCTGGCAACAGCATCTCTGGGTGGCAGAGTGGGTACTGGGGCTGGCAGGTCACCAAGCAGAGCACCATCTGTTCCCAAACAGAGGGACTCAGACTTGATTTGAGCAGCTGGCAGCCTCCCGCCGTGGGGACCTGTGAGGACAAGTGGCTGCTCCCGGGATTCCTGTGCACAGGCTGTGCCCGTCTGCCTGGCAGAGCAAAGGAGGGCTTGGGGGTAAGGTAGAACCATGGTTTCCCAGGATGCCCTGGGGCGGTGCTTCGTACGTGACTTCCCAGTCTTGGCCACACAAGCAGCTGGGAACGCAACACAGCTGGTCCGGCCTGGGCCCCCAGACCGCCTGGGGGGTGAGAACATCAGGGGACCCACGCATGGCCTTCCTCAGCAGCAATCTGGTGTGGCTGAGACGGAGTCACTGGGTTCCAGGGGCGCCTGGGTGGCTCAGTCTCTTAAGCGACCAACTTCGGCTCAGGTCATGATCTCATGGTTTGTGGGTTCAAGCCCCAAGTTGGGTTCCACACTGACATCATGGAGCTTGCTTGCAATTGTTTCTCTCCTCCCTCTTTCTCTCAAATGCTTTAAAAAAAAAAAAAAGCCATAGAAGGAACCAGGGGGTTCCAGCAAAGGCAGGCACAGGCTGGTAGAGGCGAGATAGAAATCGGGTGCCAATGCCCTGGGCGTGGGGACGGTCTGCAGCGGGGAAGAGACGAGGGCGCCCTAAGATAGTAAACAACTACAGATGAGCGAGAAGGAGTTTGCGGCACGGGGCGTCTGGGCCGTCCCCCAGATATGGTCAAGCTGGAGGAGAGAAGGCGGGAGGAGAGGGCAGCTCCAGTGCGGGCTGGGGGGGGCGGGGGCGGGGGGCGCTGGGAGGGAGGGGCGGCCCGGACTCTGGGATGGGGTGTGAGGCTGGGAGAGGCGGCTCCGCTCCCTCTAGAGGGTCACCGAGCCGTCCCAGTGAATGAGGGGTATGGCAGCCACACTGTGGACCCTCAAACTCAAACTCTGGACTAGCTTACAGAGGCAATGGCACACGATGTAGATTTTTCCTGAGAACCTGGCCCACCCTGTGCCGGGTGGCGGCGGGCATGGCGCCCTGTGGAGAGCGCTGATCTGAAATCCTCTCAACTGGCACATCGACAGCCTATCTGTCCTGTGAGTCACATGCCCTGGAAACAGCATTTCTGCACTGAGGGCAGGTGAATTTGCAGCCGTTAAGTTTTAGTGTCCACTTGGCTGGACCGAGGGAGGCCCAGAGAGCTGACGCAACATTCTTTCCGGGTGTGTGTGAGTGGGGTTGATTTGGGGACTGAGTCTAGCAGGCGGCCCTCCCAGTTTGGGGGGGCGGTGGAGATGGGCACCACGCAGTCCATCCAGGACCTGGATGGAGCAGAAAGCCAGAGGAAGGGCGAATTCGCTCCCCATTCTTGAGCGGGGACACCCGTCTTCTCCCGACCTGGGACATGGGCGTTCCTGGATCTCGCTTTGGGACGCAGACAGAATTTATACCCGAGCCCCTCGATCCTCAGACCCTAAGACTCAGGCTGAATGACACCGCAGATGGCGGGACTTCTGGGCCACTGTAACCACGTGAGCCAGTTCCTACAGTGAGGGTCCTCTTACACATCTCTGTGCGCCCCCTCGGTTCTGTGTGTCTGGGGCGGCCTGACCAGCACAGGTCAGCTGGGACTTATGTCCTATGCGCACTGTTCTTGTGGTTCGCGGAGGACAGCGCATGAGAAAGGTGCCCTTGGTCGCTTCCTGGTGAGCAGACATTGCAGCGATCCCCCCGCCCCTGTGGGGGTCTCTCAGGGCTGGAGGTGATGCCTGGTTGGGGAGGGAGCCCGGCGGGTCACCCAGCGGCCAGTGCAGACGGGGGAGGGTTTGCGCTAGATCCGCCACAGCCCTGGAGCCCTGCCTTCAAGGCATCGACAATCTGGTGTGACTGTTGATGAGTCTTACATTATTTGGGCTTCTGAGGAAGGAGGCCAGGCCTTGTTCGCAAGGAATCGTAAGACCCGATGCACCTTGATGGGAATGGTACAGAGAGGGAGAGATTCGTTCACTCCAGGGTGTGTGTCTGCCTGTTCTGGAAAGCTTCCTGGAGGAGGAGGCATTTGAAATGGACCTTAAAAGAAAAGCCTGTCAGGAATAGATACACCTTAGAATTTTTTAAAATCCAGCGGCAGTTCAGTGAAGAAAATGTATTATTTAGTATATGGGATTGGAAATATCTGTTTTGACCAGAAGTTGAAGAATTTGTCTGAAATCAATTGTACTGATTAGTAATATCTTGAAAGATTTGGGGAAAACTTTGCTTTAGTTCAGATCAGTTCTGTTTTCACCAAAGCTGTTTCTCCCTAGTCGGTTCCGGTAGATTTATGAGCTCAGTTCTGGTCAGTTAAATGGCAGCTTTGTGGGTGATTCATACCTTGGACACCAAGCCTTTACCCAATGTTGCCTGAAACACACACAAAATATCCTATTGCCTGAGACAGTTACTACATCTGTGAGCTAAAAGAAGTACTAAAGCAACAGCCTGTATTGAAAATCTATTAGAAGAGATTTAACTGATAGAAAACCTATTAGAAGAGATTTAATTTAATCTATAATCCACAAGATCCTTCACATTGGAGACACATAATAACTTTTCAGCCTTGAAATGCCTCAGTTCTCCTTCCCTTGAATCACAGACCCCATGTACTTTTAAAAAGGGGGGGTGGGGGGGCATCTGGGTGGTTCAATTGGTTGAGCGCCTGACTTCAGTTCAGGTCATGATCTCACAGTCTATGAGTTCAAGCCCCGAGTCGGGGTCTGTGCTGACAGCTCGCGGAGCCTGGAGCCTGTTTCGGATTCTGTGTCTCCCTCTCTCTCTGCCCCTCCCCCACTCATGCTCTCTAGCTCTCTCTCTCAAAAATAAACATCAAAAAAGTTTATAAAAAATTTATTTAAAACATTATCAGGTAGTGCTGTGAGGTTTAGGTGAACTGACTAAAATAATTTCCCAAGCCAGAACAACTAAACAAAGCTAAAACTTTAAGCTGGATGAGAGAAACTCCAGAGGAATATTCAAAAAGTCAACCATCTCGTCCCAGATGAATCTCTGCAATCCTCACAAAGTGTTGTCACAAATACTTTTTTTTTTTTTTTTTGTAAATTGGGAAATACCGGCCTGTCTTGGCAAACGGATTTTCAGAGAAGTGGCTTTCAGAGAACGGAGTTTCCCTGAAGTCACTTAGAACCCTGCGGGCTCTTGGGACCCTCTGGCCTCCTTCCAGGTCTCGCCGGAGTCCTAGGCTGGGGCGGGGCTGCCGCCTGAACTCGGGGGTGCGCCTCGAAGGTCTTCGGATCTGGGGTCAGTGCTGAAGCTGGTTCTGTGTCAGACGCAGCCAGGAAGTCACTGAAACCTGACTGCCGGCTTCCAGAAGATGCTCCATCCTGTGGGTCCCCGCTGACCCCCTCCACCAGCCCCCAGGGGTCCATCCTCCTCGGGGCTGTTGAGGTCTTTATGTGGAAGAGACTGGGGGGGGGGGTGTTGTAAATGAGACCCTGCTGGTGGGGTGTGGCCTCCGAGCCCTTGAGGTTGCGCCTGTCAGTCTCTCACTGGAGACCTGAATAGAGTCCCTTCCCTTTGCTCCCCTCCCCTCCCCTCCCCTTCTGGGCAGCAGATAGAGAGAGGCCCCATCAGGCCCTTTTCAGGAGCACCGAGCCCCCTCCTGGCTCCCGGGGCCGCCTGGGGCTCCATTCCTGCCCCTCCCTCTGTAAGTGCCCATCGTCCCAGCACCGTGTGCCTTCCCAGCACCGTGTGCGCTGAGCCTGGTGTAGCTGTACTGTGGACAGGCAGCGATGCGGGGCAGGGATGAGCCAGCACCCCGTAGCCGTCCGCCAGCGTGAGGAACACAGCAGTGGGGCCCTGGGGGGCTCCGTCGGTTAAGCGTCCTGCTCTTGATTTCGGCTCAGGGCATGATCTCACAGTTCGTGGGTTCGAGCCCTGCATTGGGCTGGCTGCCATCAGCACAGAGCCTGCTTGAGATTCCCTCTCCCTCTCTCTCTTGCCCTCCCCTGCTCGCACTCTCTCCCAAAATAAACTTAAAAAGAAACAGGAAGGCATCAACAGAGGGCCCCCCTCCCCCTCCCTAGAGCAGACATGGTTCCTGAACTTCTGTTGACTATTTACTACGGGAGTTTATTGTTCCCATGGACAAGCCACATATTTCTTCAAGGTCAGGGAAAAAAATGTTTTTAAGAGGAGAAAATCGATTTTACACTCGACCCACACCAGCAGTGGGCTCTCAGACACTTGGGGCCACGGGACAGTGAAATACCAACATTAATTTGGGGCACTGATAGGGCTCTTCATTTTTCAGAGGAAGAACATGAAAAAAAAAAAAACCCAACTCCTGAAACTCTCATCTGCCATCACAGTGGCTTCGTTGGGGAAAGGACATTTAACACCGAAAATACAGAAAGAGCATATTCTCAGAATGTTAAAAACTGAATACACTTAGGCTGGTCAAAAGAGTCTTTCTCTTGTGTCCACACAGAGCCTGGAAACCTTCACCTTGGGCCAGCTTGGTATTTAAGAATCACTAATTTAGAAACTCCGATTTCTGTGACCTATATGTCTAAGGGGACGGGGACTTTCTGGAGGATTGCTGCCTCCCCACCCCCACCACACCGCGTTCGGCGCTGTCCTGGCCCCACCCCCTTACCTCTTTGCCTCCGTGGGATCCCGGCTTCTGTACCCCTGCTCCCCGCCCAGAACCTCAGGGTACGTGAAACTCCTTCCCTGTCAGAGCGCCCAGCCCACCGGCGCCCTCCCCGCCCCCACCCAGGGCCCCCCCTCTGTGTCTGACACCTGCTGTGTTCGGAGGGGTCCGGGCCATACCTGGGGACTTGGTCTGCAGACGGGACTGAGGGGGAGGCGGCAGTGTAGGGCCACAGGAGACCAAAGTGACCCACTGAAGATGTCAGATGGGGGAAAGGGACAAGGAAAGGTGTCATCGGCGGCAGCCCCCCGCCCCCACCGTGACCCGGCCCCGCCCTTCCTCCACTGGGGGGACAGGCTGGATGGGCTCTGCCACTCACCCACCACCCATGCTGGAGTGAGGGGCAGGCGGGAAAGGGTGGGTGCCAGTATGTTGCAGCAACCCCCCAGGGAAGCCGCCTCCTACCCCGAGCCAGACCCACTGACTTGCCGCAGCTGAGATAAGATAAAGTCAGGCAAAAACCAAAGAAAAACCGGTGCCCGCTGCCGAAGGGCGCCCAGAGCCGCACAGCTGTTTGCAGACGGTGCCGGAAAACCATGTGTGTTTCCCAGATCCTGAGTCCCATGATCCTCCCGATGCCGCTAGTGCGCACCCCCCGATTTCATTCTTTTTCTTCAATTTTTTAAAGTGTATTTATTTATTTTGAGAGAAAGAGCACAGTAGGGTTAGGGGCAGAGAGAGAGGAGGTGGGTGGATTCCAAGCAGGATCTGGGCCGTCAGCACAGAGCCCGACATGGGACGCGAACTCATGAACCGTGAGATCATGACTTGAGCCGAGATAAAGAGTCAGATGCTTAGCTCACTGAGCCGCCCCAGAGCCCCACCCAGATTTCATTCTGATGCCACCCCGGGCCTCAGTTTCCTCATGTGCATGGTGCCCTTGAATGAGCCATCTGTGAGAACTTGACCCCCAAGCTAAGGCGGGCAGCGTCCCGCAGGTCTGGTTATGGGGACCACATGGCGGTGCCACTAAGCCCAGTTCGAGCAGGATTGGGGGACGGGAGAGTGAGATGCCATCAGCAAGGAACACCTTCCACCCTGAGCGGGGTGCCCCAGGGCCCGGCCATTCCCCTCCCCCAGGACCCGGCTGGCCCCCAGCCCCTCCTCATGTGCTGCCCCATGATGCACCATGTCCACCTCGGAGCCTCTGGTCCTGCCCTGTGAGGCCCCTCGAGTGAAGTAGGTCTGATTCCTCAGTGTCCCCACGTTTGTTTGTTTTCTTCACCTTCCTGCCTCTCACATGCAGGACACACACGCACACTCACACACACACACACACACACTTCTTTTTTTATATTGGAACCTGAAGAACAGTTGGCTAAATGCAAGGGGTGATGGCCTTATCGTTTGTGGTGTAGACAGTGTCCCCATCCCAGGATCCGGGCTCCAGCCTCTGGTCCTGACCCAGAAGCTCAGGCAGACACTGGAGCCAAAGAAACACGCCTCTCCCGTTCCCCTCCCAACCCTACACGCCCTTCCCGCACCTCACCTCCCCCTGGGGCATCCGGGAGACGCTGAGGCAGGCCTTCTGGCCAACCCAGGTCTGCTCCCCCACTACGGCCGAGTGAAGGGGGTAGAGGCGCAAAAGACCCCGAATGCCACCACCTGGGGCCTTCGATTTTCCGCTTTCGACCAGACACTCAAGCACCAGCGCACACAACTCTTAGAGTCCAGTCGCTTTTATGTGAGCCGTCACACTGCTTGGGTTTGCTCACCACAGCCCAGTGAGGAAGGCGGCCGCCCCGGCTCTTACAGGAGCTGCCCGAGCCCCCCGGGCAGAGAGCGCAGCCCCCGGGCCCGAGGGAGGCCAGGCTCTCCCGCCGGTAGCTACCTTCCCACCCACCACCCAGGCGTCCCCCTTACATCTCCGCCACAGAAGCAGGGGCCCCGAAGGCGTGAGGGCCGGAGACGGGCCCAGGCCGGGCCTCACTTCTGAGAGAGGATGCGCCTGAACTCCTCGAAGTTCACCTGCCCGTCCTGGTCCGCGTCGGCCCCCTGGATCATGGCGTCCAGCTCCTCCCGGGAGGCGCTCTCGCCCATCTTGGCCATGGCCTGCTCGAGCTCATCCACGCTGATGCGGCCGTCGCCATCCAGGTCGAAGGCCCGGAAGACCTCCCGCATCTCCGCCTCGCTGCCCCAGTCCTTCGTCCTCTTGGCCATCTCTGCCAGGAACTCTGGGAAGCTGATGACGCCGTCGCCGTCGGTGTCCACCCTGGCGATGATGGCCTTCAGCTCGTCTTCCGACAGCTTCTCGCCCAGGGCCTCCATCACGGCGCCCAGCTCCTCCGTGTTGATCTTTCCGTCCCCGTTCCGGTCAAACTGGGCGAAGGCCGCCCTGAATTCATCCACCTGCTCTTTAGACAGCTGCTCAGCCATGTCAGGCACACCTGTCACAGAGCTCCCGAGCTTGCTGCCGCTTGGCTCAAAGGGCTCACGTCGGAGATGGGGACCGGGGGCTGTGTCCGTGTGAGGGCAGAGCTCCCGTGGCTGGCTTGCCGGGGGATGGAAACCCCCTCCTTTTCTGCATTCGGAGCGAAGGGAGGAGGAAGGCTCTCCGCCCTCCCCATGTCCTTGGGCGAAATCCTCCTCCCAGGGAGGGACACACAGCTGCGAACCAGAAATGCCGGAATCCCGAGTGGCAGGGCCCGCCCCAGAGAGGCCGGAGGGAGCCCGCACGGGGGCCGCTGGGGGCCGGCCAGCCTCCCCTAGGAGGAGACTGCCCCCCAGTCCCCCGGCGGCAGACATGCCACTCAGGAAGCTTCTCACCCGGGTGACGCTCGGAGACGTGGCTGGGAGGAGAGAGGGAGCCTCCTTCGGTGGACAGAGCAGGTCCCGGAGGAGAGGGGGCCTGGCCTGTGTTTCTCTTCTCCTCTTGGGGCTGTTGGCCAGCTCTCACCCCGCAGGACGGGCTGGTGGAGGCAGATGGCGGCAGAATGAGTGGAATTCTACCAGGGAGGAGCCGCGGGCGCCGTGAGGTCCCCGGGCCGCGGGGGATGCGCCCAGCCGCCCACAGCTTCAAGAAAGCACGGGGCCCGGGCGCATGCAGACGTGCTGCACACGTGCTAGCTGCTTATTACGTGGCTGTTGCCAGTGTGATTTCCGGGGTGAGGAGAGGTCTCCCTGCTCCCCCCAGAATACCTCTCCTCCAGCCCCGTGATTCCTCCGATGCCATTCCACTGTTAGGTTCAAGCTTCTGTAGGCAGACGCGGGGAGGGGGGGCGGGAATGGGGCGTCTGCCCCCCGTCCACGGGGGTCCTGTCAGAGGGCCTCGGGACGCCGTGCAGTACGGGGCCCGGAGCAGGCCCGCCCCCGCAGGCGCTTAGGGACAGAGGGGTGTGGAAAGGGGTGGCCAAGACTGGGAAGTGGCCTAGTTCGAGGGTTTACTAAGGGCCACAAAACCCAGTCTGGAAATGTCCCTGGCCCGCAGCCTCCTCTGTCCTTTGGAAGGATGTCATCTCTGCCCACTGCTCTGAGTAGCAGGGTTTAGACCAAGAGCTCAGCCCTTGGGGACTCTCCCGGGGTCCCTAGCTAGTGACACCCAAGGCTCTCAAGGGGACACTTGCACTCGAGTCTCCACGGTGTCTTTCTCAAGCAAACCTCCTCTGGTCCCTACGACCTCCCAGATCTTCCCCGGCCTGTGCCTCTGTGTGAGGCATCAACTCCTTCCCTCTCTGGTTCAGCCCATCAAACAGCCTGAGGCGTCTCTCCTTCCCTAGACCCATCCCTGGGGGCGCACACCTGCCCCCCAGCCCACCCCGAGCCAGGGGACCGAGATGTGGAGAGAGACACAAAGGGAGGGTTCCAATCGTCCAACTTCTTTCATAAAGAGAACAATGGCTGTTTCATCTTCGTGCTGGAATAGTACAGGGACCGCAATAAATATTGAGCAATCGGTTTCTCAATGAAATCCTCCAGCGGTATCGGGTGGAGAACGTAGGCACCTGGGACACTGGCTCGGGAGAGCCACCCACTGCCGGAAGTGACAAGGGATGGGTGGGGCTCCCGGCGACAAGGGTATTCTTTTAAGAATATTTGAAGGTACAAATCTACACATTTCATTTTCTTCTTACCTTATTATCAGGGCTTGTGATTAAAAATCCAAGATGCTCAACATTTTCTTATTTTCCCCTTGGAATTAAATGATGCGTTGTATAGAGGGAGGAGCTTTTCTGACACTATCTGGAGACGGAGCTCTTGGTTCTGGCTCTGTTGCGGATTTGGGAACTCGGCGTGGGTCTCGGCATCTTCATCCACAAGATAGGATAATATGTCCACCGTATATGATGACTGCACTTAAGATCAAAGCTCAAGGTGTCTTTGATCAGCGGGAGGTGTAATTACTCTGTGATAAACCTCATCTTTGGTTGCAAGCTGGTTTGTGTCTGATGGGAACTGACAGTCGAGCAAAAATTGAGAAAGCCTCAATTTTGTCATTACGGCTTTCTCGATGGCACTAATGAGCTCTCCGGCCTGGAGGGTGCAGTCACATCACACAGTCCAAGGCGACATTAGTCACCTTTTGGACATCACCATGCGGCTCCCCGCAGAGCAGAGCCTTGTATTTAGAAAGACCATCTAGCGAGTGTCCTCACGGGACTGGAAGGTGATAATTATTCATGTCCCTCACTGTCCCCATGTATCGATGGAGTCTCAGGACGTAGGGTCCTATGCCCAAGGCCACCCAGAAATTGGGGAGAGAGTCACCCTTCTAGTGAGTCCCTCCCCGCCCTCGGCCGGCCATTTTGGATCCTGCTTCCTCTCCAACACGGTGTGTTCCCTTCTCAGAGCATGAATCCATACGGAAATCACTCCCTTCCCCTCCCCCCGTGGCCTCCTGCCTCAGCAGGTGAGCGGTCGGTCAGCCTCACGGGACCAGCATCGGGGATCGCTGCTCCCCGGTGACCAACGCCAACGGTCTAACAGCTGAACTCAGCACTGGGAAAAGGGGGAACACGTGTCACCCAAACCTAATCCAGCTCGATCAAGCCCCTTTCTTCCTCCGGATCCGGCCCAGCTCTTTAAGGAGCAGGAGGGAACTAGAGAGGCCTCAGGTCCACGCATGTCTCCTTACTGGGCTGTGGCTGTGCCTCTTGTCGGGGGCATCCGGGGAGGAGCCGAGGCTGCGGCGCTGGCACCTGCGGCACCCCCCCCCCCCCCGCGGCGCCCTGGGGCCCATAAGACCCGCACGGTGTCCCCCTGCCCGCCACCCTCCACCCCCCGCAGAGCGTGAGGGAGACACGAGAGGCTGCCTGGCTGAGTGGGGGACCCGCGTCTACTGGGAAGGAGCCCCGGGACCAAGCCCAGCAGAGAGCGGGTGTGGTGGGCCAGGCGGAGACCGCGGGTGCTGGCCTCGCCGCTGTCGCCCGCTGGAGGTCAGCCCTTCCCTCCAAGGCTCATCCCCCTCTCCTGCCCCTCTCAGGTCACCCCCTGGCCCTGCTGCCAGGGCCACTGGGACCTCTCCCAGTGACAGCGGCTGAGCCCCTGAGGGCGTCCCCACAGGCAACAGGTCCCCATGGCCCGGGGGGAGGTCTGCAGTCTCCACTGCTTGTGTAGTAGCCCGGGTGTGAATGTGGGTGTGACGGTGTGCGTTGCGCACAGGGGTGTGGGCTGGCCGTCTCCTGCCCAGGCCTTCAGAACCGGCGGCTGAAGCCAGCCCGGCGTCCCCGGGACAGAGCACACTCAGCTCTCCCGTCCTGTGCGCCAGGTCCCCGTGAGAAACTGGTATGACTGGTCCCGGAGTCTGACGTGCGTGCGGGAACCTGCTTGTCCCTCCCCCGCTGAGCGCCCCCACACTCGCCCAGAGCTCCTGCGCGGGGATCACCATGTGTCCGCGGGAGCCCGCCCTCCGTGGGGCCACTGTGCTGCCTTCCCAGAGCGTGCCCCCCCCCCCCCCCCCCCCCCCCCCCCCCCCCCCCCCCCCCCGTCCATGCTGCGTCCGAACCCAGAACACAAGTCACATTCCCCAGGGAGCATGGGTGGCTCCTCACTGGCCAGGAACCAGGAAGCTGTGGGGCGTCGTCCTGGCTTCCCAGGTCACGAGAGGTGCAGCCCAGGGCAGGTGACTTCAGGTAAGGCCACACCTGCCTCCGCAGGGCTGCGGGCTGCGAGCGGAGCTGCAGGAAGAGCAGTGGCCGCAGGGGCGCACGGGAAGCGCGGGCCTTTGCTGCCGCCCCTTCCCCCGTGGGCCCAGAGCCAGCTCTCTGCCCGGGGCCACTCCAGCTGCTCTCCCTCCTCCAGGTCCAGGGGCCGACGTCCCTGACGCGGAGGGGGGTGGCTCTTCTAAGTTCCGGAAGGTCTCAGGCCGAGGTAACCCCTGGCCTCACGGAGGCTCAGGCCCGTCTGGTCTTGCTCCCTGCGTCCCTGCTGGTGCCGCAGAGAGTGCCCCGGGTGTGGAGTGAGTTTCCGTTCCACAGGGAACGGTCACATGTTGAAGGCTCAGAAGTTGGAGGTCGTCTTTCCGTTTCAGATCCTTGTCCGAGCACAGGTGTGATTCTTGGGCCACTAACACGTCACGTGGAAAGGGCCTGCTGTCAGGGGGACTCTGTGCAAAGGGTAGGATCTGGGGCGCCTGGGCGGCTCAGTGGGTTGAGCGTCCAACTTCGGCTCAGGTCATGATCTCGCAGTTCGTGGGTTCAAGCCCTGCATCAGGCTCTGTGCTGACAGCTCAGAGCCTGGACTCTGCTTCAGATTCTGTGTCTCTCTCTCTGCTCCTCTGCTGCTCGCACTCTGTCTCTCTGTCCCTCAAACATAAATAAACATTGGGAAAAAAAAAAAAGAAGAAGAGCAGGGTCGTGTCTGCCTGTCCCTGCCCATCACTTGGCCTGCTCGCTGGCGTGCGCTGCAGGCGCGTCAGGCCCACGGTCTGCCTGGACTCGCCGGGCGCCTGGCAAGGCTGTTCTTCCCGCTCTTTTTGGCCAACGACACACCCGGGAGTTTCGCAGGACGCACATGGCCCGCGTGCACTGTCTGCACACGTGCGCAGCCCCAGTGACAATGGTGTCCCGGTTACGAGGCACTTTCTGCAAGAAGTGCTCCGAGTACGGTGTTTTCACGGAGCACCGACATGGACCCCTTCAAACAGCAAGCGTTTGGACTGTGGTGGAAACCTTTCTAAGGTGAATCATACACTGCATTTCCCATCACTCTGAACGAGGGAGGCGGACTGCTTCCCATAGTTAGAGACGGTTCTGTCATCGTGTGCCCCACCCACGGGGACGTGAGCAGGTGCGTGGGCCAGGCACTGGATGGTCCGGATTTGCTGCGATTTCTCCAGTGGAGCAGTCCCACCTCCTGGCTGTAGTCAGCTATTATATTTCCATGGGTGTCGCACTTCCTTTCACAGCTATTATTGAGTAAACCAGCAACTCAATTTATTAACTGATTTTTCATTTTTAAGTGTATTTATTTATTCACTCCTTCATTTATTCATTCATTTAGAGAGAGAGAGAATGTGGGGGGGCGGGAGAGGGAGAGAGAATCCCAAGCAGGCTCCATGCTGTGAGTGCAGAGCCCATCTCAGGGTTCAAGCTCATGTACTGTGAGATCACGACCTGAGCCAAAGTCAGATGCTTAAGTGACTGCTGCCCCCAGCAACTTTAATTTACAAACAATAACAAATCAATTGCTCTGAGGGGGTGCCGGGTGCTTCTATTATATCTCTGGATTCAGGACGAGATCCTAAAGCGTCAGGTGGCTTTTGGA